TGCGTGCCTGGCAAGCCCCCCCCCCGTGGGGGTCCCGGGCTGTACCCCCACCTCCCTCCTTCCCAAAAGGCTCAGCACGATGGGGGAAGCAAGCAAAATTGCATCTGATGCAAACCCCCACTCCCATCTAAAAATTAAAATTTAAAAAGATGCAATAGCCTGAGGTGGCAGCCGGGATCCTGCCCAGGAACGGGTCTTCGGGTCGGGACCACCCCCGAGTAGGGATGCCAGTCCTGGGACATGGAATTTGGCGAGCCCTGCTTCACTCTCTCCCTTTTCCAGACAATCCCACGCGGACTTTGGAGGGAAGATCCTGCGTGAAATCGCCAAACCTCGACTGCAGAAATAGTTTTTTATATTTTTTTTTCCTAGCTGGAAAATATTTTCCCGAACGCAGCCGTGGGCAATTCTGGTCAAACGAAGACGACCAGAAGATGTCCTCACACGTGATAATAACCTTTCCAACAGAGCTGATAAACTTTGCAAACCGCCCAGCTCGTCTTTTTTTCTTCCACGAGGCTGCACATAAATGTCAGACGGCTTTTTCGTGGTGATATGGCACACGCAGGGAGTACCAAGTGCCTCAAAAGAAATTCTCCATCCCCTTCTCGTGACAAGAGACCCTTCACTTTTATTTTAAAATACAGACCTGGACTTAGCAAAAAACCCCAAAACTACTATATTTACGAAGTCAAACCTTGTTTTCTTTGGTTATAAACGTTCTTTAAGGATGGTACCTAATATTTTAAATTAATTGCATCGCTGCCCTTGCTTAAAAAAAAAAAAAAAAAAAAAAGCAACAAATCCAAAGAATCAAATCTACCCAAATCCACAGCCACTTGAGTAAATTGCTATAAGCTGAAAACCAGAGTTATTCAACCGAAGGAGAGCAAGTTTGTGCCTGCTAATAAAGCCCTGAAAACCCATTGACATCTAGAGAGCCTTAACCTCTGTAGGTATCGTGATATATGTATACAGGCTGCTAAATATACAAAAGGAGAGATGCAAACACAGCTCTATAGAGCCACAGACAGTTAAAGAGTTGGTGCAATGTGGACACGTATGTTTGCATGGGAGCTTGTGTGTGTCTAGAAAATCTCCAAGTTAGTTTTCACCATACCAGACATTCGTGAACAATACTGAAAGTAACTGCTCGAAAGGAAGGGAAGGTGGGTTATACGAATAGAAAGGGTCAAGATTCATTATCTTCCCCAGGAAGTAGCATAGTAAATAATATTCAGACTAGATCAGAGAGACCGCATTTCCACTTTCTGCTGATATATTGGAAAAAAGAAATGAAAAGAAAAGAAAAGAAAAGAAAGGACAAAGGCTGCTGATCCTTAGAAATAATTGTTTTAAAGGGACTAATAGCAGAACAATGCAGTTACTGAGCGGAGCCTAATGCAGGCTCGTACTCAACAAGTAGCTGAGGGCTGGGAGCAGCCCCCTGAACCCGGCTCGGCTCCATCTCCACTCGCTCATCCCACCTTCTTCTCCTTGATTTTGGCGTAATTTCCACTGCAAACCTCGGGCTTTTTAGATTTCGCCACTACAGAGGTCACTCCCTGGCTTCATAAATCAGCATCTGTTTTTTCCTCTCTTGTTTTTTATTTTTTCTCTTTTCCGTGTTGTTTAACCGTACAGATAAACTCCAGCTATAAATACTGGATCACTCCAATTCTTCATAAAAAGATAGCACCAAAACACTAATCCCTCTGTGGACCTGGGCCGCATCGGCCCTAGGTATTTCACCTCCTCTCTAAAAACTGTGACCCAGGAACAAAATTCACATTGCGGATCACTACCTTCCTGCAGGACCCACAGGAAAACACACCAGATCCGATACCTAACTACACCACGGGATTTATTTGTTTTTATTTCTTCCTTATTTTTAACCACACGTCGTGGTGTGGCCCTAGATGCCTGTGCAAAACTTTCGACCCGAGCCTAACAAGCTCACCAAGTGCGAATGAAACAGCCCAAGCGTGAGGACAGCAGGGTCATTTTCACACCCCTGCTCCCCAGCTTGCTTTTCTTCTCCAGAGCAGCTTAATCGTGCAAAAAAACTAAACACCGTATGAAAACCCTGTTAACCTAATTACGGGGGGGGGGAATAAAGTGAAAGAG